GAAGGGACTGAAATCCAAGAGAGAGTGGAGCAAGCTCCGTTGTTCCCTCTCTGACCCTGCCCCCACATCACAACCCAGAGGCTGGGTTGTCCTGCCCTGGTGAACACCTAAGGCTCTGCCCCTCATACATAACAGGTGCGAATAGATGAAAAAAAAAATGGCTCAAATGGAAGAACAGATTAATGTCCCAGAGCCAATACATCTAAGCGACCAAGAGAGAGCCAACCTGTCTTATGCACAGTTCAAAGCACTGGTGATCAGGATGCTCACAGAACTGGTTGATTTTGGTTGCAAATTAGATGAAGAAATGAAGGCTACACTAAATGAAATGAAGGAAAATGTACAGGGAACCAATAGTGATGGAAACCAATCTGGGACTCAAATCAATGGAGTGAACCACAAGGAAGAAAGAAACAACCAAACAGAAAAGAATGAAGAAACAAGAATTCAAAAAAATGAGGAGAGGCTTAGGAACCTCTAGGACATCTTGAAACATTCCAACATCCAAATTATAGGGGTACCAGAAGGGGAAGGGGAAAAGCAACAAGTGGAAAACTTACTTGAACAAATAATAAAGGAGAACTTTCCCAATCTGGTAAAGGAAATAGACTTCTAGGAAGTCCAGGAAGCTCAGAGAGTCCCAAAGAAGGTGGACCTAGATAGGAACCATACCAAGACATATCATAATTACATTAGCCAAGATTAAAATGGAGAGAATCCTAGAAGCAGCAAGAGATAAGGGGACAGTCACCTACAAAGGAGTTTTCATCAGACTGTCAGTGGGTTTCTCAAAAGAGACCTTATGGGCAAGAAGGGGCTGGAAAGAAGTATTCCAAGTCATGAAATCCAAAGACCTACAGCCAAGGTTGCTCTATCCAGCAAAGCTTTCATTTAGAATGGAAGGACAGATAAAGTGCTTCTCAGATAAGATCAAATTCAAGGAGTTCATCATCACCAAGCCCTTATTACATGAAATGTTAAAGGGACTTATCTAAGCAAAAGAAGATAAAAAGTAAGAACAGTGAAAGGACAGCAAACTCACCGTTATTAACAACCACACCTAACTAAAACAAATGCAAACTAAGCAAACAACTAGAACAGGAACAGAACCACAGAAATGGAGATCACATGGAGGGTTAGCAACAGGGGAGTGGGAGGAGGAGAAGGGGGGAGAAGGTACAGAAAATAAGTAGCATAGACGGTAGGTAGAAAATAGATTGGGGGAGGGCAAGAATAGTATGGGAAATGTAGAAGCTAAAGAACTTACAACACATGGACATGAACTAAAGGCAGGGAATGTGGGTGGGAGGGGGTGTGCAGGATGGAGGGGAGTGAGGGTGGGAATGGGACAACTGTAATAGCATAATCAGTAAAATATATTTTAAAAAAAGTAAACAGGAAACAGTGCGAAGTGGGATCTAGAACACGATACAGGACTTTTGGTCAAGATTTAGCCATAGGTAGATATGCTTCGCCTCCTTGGGCAACCATAAGAAGAACTATGACTAGATGGTAAGTCCCAGAGTGGGTGGGTTTGCGTACCTTTTGTGGGTACACAAAACAACACCCAGAGCCATCAGAAAATTGAGCTGTGTGGAAGTCTGACATCAGTGAGTTGAAGAAGCCACATTCATCCACATGGGTTAGAGGGGCGGAGACATGGAGACAGGCAGAGAAGAGCAGAGAGACGCGGCGTGGCACAGAGATGCAGTGGTGGAACAGACGGTCCCATGTTCACATGAGGTGGATAAAAATTAGGAAGGATACTTTGGAAGTAAGCAATCCTAGCCTCAGGCTAGACCCCACAGCCCAGGGTTCCAGTACTGGGAAGATAAATCCCCATAACTTCTAGCTGTAAAAAACAGTGGCAGTTGGGGTTGCAGAAGAAACTGTCAATTTTCAGGAGATTTGGCTTAAAGGACCCACAGGGACTTAAAAGGTACGCAGACCCACCCACTCTGGGACTTACCACCAGGGCAGCATCTGGAAGGGAGCCAGTCACATCCAGGGAGTGGGTGAAGTGACTGGAAATGTGGAAAGTGCCAGGTACACCTCCAGACCAGGCAACAGCACTGTTCCCTCTTCAAGCCCTCCCCCGATACAGAACCACCCTGGTGATTATCTAAGGCTCTGCCCCACACAAGTTACAGGTGCCTTTTCTATAATAGGCCATGCTACTAAAACAGTTAGTCAAAGCAGCTCTACCTAATACACAGAAATAGACACAGAGAGGCTGCCAAATTGAGGAGACAAAGAAATATAGCCCAAGTGGAAGAACAGAACAAAACTGCAGAAAAAGAACTAAACAGAACAGATAATCAACCTATCAGATGCAGAGTTCACACTGGTGATCAGGATGCTCAAAGAACTTATTGAGTATGGCAACAACATAATGGAAGAAATGAAGGCTACAGTAAGTGAAATAAAGAAACATCTAAAGGGAACCATCAGTGGAGGGGAGGAAGCTGGGATTCAAATCAACGATTTGGAACTAAAGGAAGAAATAAGCATTCAACCAGAAGAGCAAGAAGAAAAAAGAATTTAAAAAAAAAAGGCCCTGGCTGGTGTAGCTCAGTGGATTGAGCATGGGCCTGCAAACCAGAGTATTGCGGTTCAATTCCCAGTCAGGGCACATGCCTGGGTTGCAGGCCAGTTCCCAGCAGGGGATGCACGAGAGGCAACCGTACACTGATATTTCTTTCCATCTCTCCTTCCCTTCCCCTCTAAAGATAAATAAATAAAATCTTAAAAAAAAAAAAAAGAAGGAAAAAAAGGATAGCATAAGGAGCCTCTGGGACATCTCCAAATGTACCAACATCCAAATAATAGGGATGCCAGAAGAAGAGGAACAGCAAGAAATTGAAAACTTACTGGAAAAAATAATGAAGAACTTCCCTAATTTGGCAAAGGAAATAGACATACAAGTCCACGAAGCACAGAGGGTCCCAAACAAGTTGGACCCAAAGAGGACCACACCAAGACACATTGTAAGTAAAATGCTAAAGGTTAAAGATAAAGAGAGAATCTGAAAAGTAGAGTTACCTACAAAGGAGTTCCCATGAGACTGTTAGCTGATTTGGTATGTCAGGCACCTACATACCAAAAGAAACTTTGCAGGCAAGAATGGGCTATCAAGATGTATTCAAAGTAGTGAAAAGCAAGAACCTACAATCTAGATTACTCTACACAGCAAAGCTATTATTTAGAATGGAAGGGCAGATAAAGTGCTTCCCAGATGAGGTAAAGCTAAAGGACTTCATCATCACCAGGCCATCATTATATGGAATGTTAAAAAGGGGCTTGTTTAAGAAAAAGAAAAAGCAACAAATTCACAACTATCAACAACTGAATCTAAAAAGAAACTAAGCAAATCAGCAGAACAGGAACAGAATCACAGAAATGGAGGTCCCTTGGAGGGTTATTGGCAGGGAGGGGGAAAGAGGAGAATGGGGGGAGAGGTAGAGGAATTAAGAAGCATAACTGGTAGGTACGAAATAGGGTGATGTCAAGAATAGTGTAGGAAATGGAGAAGCCAAAGAACTTATACGCACAAACAATGGACATGGACGAGGGGGGGCGTTGCGGAGGGAAGGGAGGTGCCGAGTACAGAGGGTGGCAAGGGGGGGACATTTGGGACAACTGTAACAGCATAATCAATAAACTGTATTTTAACAAAAAGAAAGGTTGGTGTGCTGGAGGGACACTGGGCACTGGCTGCCTCCGTTGCCTGTGTGCGGGAGCCTCCCTCAGGACGGGTGGGAGTTCACCTGAGCAGAGCCGAAGAGCCTGCCGGGGGCAGGTCCTGCAAATGGGAGCCACAGGAAATCAGAAGACAGAATTTAAATGTGTATCAACCCTTGTGGGAGGGGAACGTAACTTCCTACACTCAGAATTTAATAGTAATAATCACAAAGGAAAAGCTTGTTGGATTAAACAAGTTAAAACTATGGAACTTTGAATTAAAAAAAAAAACTAAATGGCACATAATTCTGAAGAATATTTTTAGCATGTAAAACATATGCTAAAGATTGTTAAAAGCTCACACAGATTAATAAGGGACATATAAAATTCAGTAGCTAAATGGCAGAGAAGCGGGACAAAGCAGTGCCCAGAAAAGACTGTAATTCGCAAACATGGTTGGAGCTCCAAAGGAACACAGTTAAATGGGCAATCACTTCTTTAATGTAACAAGTCAGCATAAAGTTCTTTTCTTTTACTGATACCCCATACTGGGGAGAGTACAATGCAACTGGCATTTTCATAAATTGGTAATGACCCTTTAAATTAATATAATCTGCTTTTGAAAAGCAGTTTGACACAGTATACCAGAAATCATGTAAAAGACCACATCTGTTTCTTATCCCAGTAATTTCACTTCTGCAAATTTATTTATTTATTATTTTTAAATTTTATTTATTTATCTTTAGAAGGGAAGGGAAGGAGAGAGGGAGAGAAACATCAATGTGTGGTTGCTTCTGGTGCATCCCCTGCTGGGAACTGGCCTGCAACCCAGGCATGTGCCCTGACTGGGAATCGAACCACAATCTTTTGGTTCACAGGCCCGCGCTCAATCCACTGAGCTAGACCAGCCAGGGTGACTTCTGCAAATTTATTTTAAATAAATTATTGGGAGAAAATAAACCTTAATACCAATACGTGGCTCACGTGATTTTAGTAGACCCTTGGAAGCACCCATTGTTTGAAACACAGATGAAAAAGAAGGGTTGTGACCACTGCGGTAGTTTGAGGAAGTGCTTTGACTTAGGGGGAAATAGCAAACAGCGCGTGCAGAGTTGTCTGTATACGCTTTTTGTTTCTTAGATGTGTATTCTAAAGACTAGACTCAAGGATATGCACCAAAATGTTAACGGTGGTGCGTTAGTTATGGGATAAAAATTTTAACCCATGTGTCTTTAGAAAAAATGTGTTGCTTTTAAAATTTGCTTAAGACCAAAGTGACAGCAATAATGAAATGACTCAGTTTTCATCTTTCTCGAAAGAGCTTTGAAGGCACAATCGTGTGGGAGAGCCAGGACCCCCAGGGCCTCGTGTCAAGGAACCTCCACACGGTGACCGTAAATGACGGAGGGGGAGTTCTCAGGGTCCTCACAGTAAGTCACTCTCGTTTTGTTTTAAGGTGGTGTGGTGTACTTCAGCATACAGAAGTGTTTTTCAGTGTTTTTACACAGCCCAGACAGTATGGAGTAGTCTCGTGTGTTGTCACCGTAGTAAAGATTAAATCCCAAATGTTCTGTGACTTTGTAACTCGACTATTTGTACATACAGGGTGGGCAAAAGTAGGTTTACAGTTGTGAGTACGTGAAATACAGAATTCTTGTATTACTTATTGTATTATTTTCCATATGAACAACTGTAAACTTACTTTTGCCCCACCTGTATAGTTTTGCCTTAAGATCACAGCATTTGAGGAAAAGCAACATTTTATTTATTGATAGTATTTAACATCAGGAACACTGGCCTGCCTGACGTGGTCCAGAATGTCCGTTCTCGCCTTGGCGCAGGAGGCCCGTGACAGTGCCGCAGAGAAACTCGGCAGGGGCTCGGGGCTCGGCGGGCAGAGCGGAGCTGTCCTTCCTGTGCCCTGCACAGCTCGGGGCCTGTGCCGGTGGCCAGAGCTGCTTCAGGCCCGGGACACATTGTTTAAAAATACTATAGATGAAAGTGTTGGAATGAGAGTGAGTTTTCCCTTTCATTTATATTGCTGGAATTTCTGTCTCGTAGTTTTCATATATTCACATTTGCTTCAAATTCAAAACAGCTTGACAGGTAAATTTCTCAGAATAAACGAATATAGAATGATAAGGAACATGTGTAACAGTATCGATACCTGAGCAAGAAAATGTAATTTGGATTATAATATTCATGCTTTAATAAAAATTCATTAAACAGCAGGGGGTAGGGGGTAGGAGGCAGAGACAAACTTAAAAGGAAGAACTCCAGTTGGGTGGTGTTTGTGGTACACAGTCTTTTGTTCCCCTTGATGCTCTGATGCAATGATTAGAAAAGCACTTGTGCTTCAGTTCACAAATCAGTACATTTCCATTAAATATTAACCTCATTCATGTGGATTAGTTCCCAGCTTTGGGGTGCATGCCCTATGGCACGTGGCTCCCTGTCCAGAAAACACACACTGCACACCACGTGTGAGCCAGGCGCCGAGGTGGCAGAACCGCCCCCGAAAGGCGAGTGTGCGGAAGAGGCGCTGTGAGCACGCTGCAGCGGCTGGAGGCCCCTCGGTCCCCGTGGGGGGTGTGCTGCGGCTGCGCCACACACAGCGGTGTCACCTCGCTCTGAGCAAGGGCATCGTGTGAATCCCTCGTAGTGACAGCCTCCACGCTGAGCGGCAGCGGGACTGCAGCTGCCGGTGTCCGATTCTCTGCGCACCTCACCAGTGTCAGTGGCTGTGTGGAGAGGCCCTCTGCTCTGTGCAGTGACCTGGCTCCAGACTGCCTGGGTGCGTGCAGACTCACAGGGGTGTTCAGTCTCCAAGGAATGAAAAATTATCTTTTTTGAGTGGTTAGGTTACAGTGCAAAATAAAATTGGATTTTGTGCTGTTAAGGTAGCAAGCTCAAGAATATCTGATTGTGTAAGTTGGGCTTCTGACCACTGTGTGGACCACTGCACACCCCTGCTGAGTGATTTGTAACTGGTGTCCCCGAATGGCACAGGCCTAGCGTGCTCACAGCGTGGGTGGATTTCGCCGTTATCAATTCTGCCTGTCGGTTTCAAGTGTAAGAGTGTGTGTGTGTGTGTGTGTGTGTGTGTGTGTGTGTGAGAGAGAGAGAGAGAGAGAGAGAGAGATGAAACACCCAGCACCGGCAACCTTGTTTCTTTCAGGCTGCGGAGGGTGCATTGCCTCATGAATTCATGGAAGGTGTGGAGGGAGTTGCAGGTGGTTTTATTTATACTATTCAGGGTAAGTTGACTGGTTGAAAGTTGAAAAGCGTAATGAATCTCATGTACCTAGTCTTACTCTGTACTTGAGCATAAAGGGTGATCAATTTTTTGTCATTAAAAAATAGCTTTATTAGTGTATCATTCACAACCACACAATTGATCTTCGTAAAGCGTTAATTCAGTGCGGTTAGTGTACTGAGTTCTGCACGCAGCTGCACTGACCCCAGGCCACCTGCAGCACTGCGGGAAGAACCCGGCACCCGGCCCGTTGGCCATCAGCCTTGCTCTGCCTCCCCTCCAGCCCTGACCTCCATGCACCTGCTCACAGACCTTAAATCCACAGATTCACTTCTAGATGCCCTGTTCTGTTGACCTCTGTGTCTGTCTGTACCCCACAACCACGGTCTCGGTTATGTTGCTGTGTAGTGATACTTGAAATCAGGAAGTGGGGGTCCTCCAGCCCGGTGCTTTTTCCAGAGTGTCTAGGCTATTCTGGGTCCCTTGCATTTCCATATGAATTTTAGGATCCGCTTGTCAACTTCTGCAAAAAAGCCAGCTGGGACTTTGAAAGGAGTTGTATTCAGTGTGTAGATACATCATTTTGGGGAGCGTTGACATCGTAACATTTATCTGATCCACGAACATGGGGTGTCTTTCCATTTATCTGGATCTTATTCAGTTCTTTCAGTTATGCTTTGTGATTTTCAGAGTACAAGTCGTGTACTTCTTTTGTTAAGTTTATTCTTAAATGCTCATTTTTGATGCTGTTGTAAGTGGCATTTTTAAAAATTATATTTCCAGATTGTTCATTGGTAATGTATGCAGTTGATTTTTATATATCACTTTGTATGCTGTAACGTTGCTGAACTCATTTATTAGTCATGTAGGGGCCTCAGGAAAATGCTTTTCAAAACAAGAGTGAAATAATTCAGGTTTTAAGGTAAAGGAATTAATATGAATTGATTATCTTCTCATGTATTGAATATATGTGGAAGTCAGGGTAGAAGGTTTTGTTTAGTCTGAGGATCAAAGGGCCGTTCAGTAGAATCTCACGGCAACGGCCACGGCTGTGGGGCATCGGCCCCACCGTGAGTGGCAGAGGGAAAATCTTCAGGGCTGGGCTCTGGTGTCTGTGTTTAAACAGGCTCTTTAGATGGGTCTCTCTGACACCCCAGACTCTGAGAGGCTGTGAACCACCACAGGCATCTTTTAAACAACACCTAGACAGATCACCAGGATTGAAACACACACCAGTGCATTACTTCATCCTCACAGCTTCCAGGCAGATGCAGTGTAGAACAGAAGGTGTGATTCGTCCATCGAAAAAGGCCTGTATTTCATTTCCTCTCTCATCCTGTCACCATTTTCTCTAACTGCAGTCTAATGACACTTTCACTGTAAGTGTCATAGTGTATGTACTTACCCTTACTTCTGGATGAAGGCGAGAGGATGTTGCAGTAGCACAGAAGAGTTGAAAAGACCCCAGGGTTATTTAGGCTTGTGTTTCTTAAGAGGTAGTCAGAGGTACAGAGAGGCACATGTTAAAAATGCAGATGGGCCCTGGCCACCTAGCTAGTTGATTAGAGTGTCTTCCCAGTACATCAAGGTTGGGGGTTCGATCTCCAGTCGGGGCACATACTAGAAGCAGTCAGTGAGTGCGTAAATAAGTGGAACAACAAGTCGGTGTTTCCCTCACCCTTCCTCTATCTAAAATCAAGGTTGTTTTGTTTGTTTTTTAAATGCGGATTGCTGGGTCCCACCCCAGACCTGCAGTATCAGAAAGGCTTCAGAGGTGCCTTTCCGCAAGCACTCCCGAGAACCAGCCCCCCGTGCGGGGGCGGAACAACTGAGGCCCAGGCCCGGGGACTTGTACTTGCTCCGGGCCCACGGAGCTGCGGAGACGGAGATCAAATGCGCAGGTCTTCAGGCTCTTCCTCCGTCTCGCTGTGCGCAGTTACAAAGTGCAGCACTATTTACCTTCCTTTCCCCACCCCTCAGTTAACTCCCCCTGTTTTTTTCCCAGAAATTTTCTCTTAATTTGAAACATTTGATAAAATCCCGCCTTAGTGCTGCTTTAATTGTATCCGCGGGATCTGAAGACAGTCCCTGCACACATGTGGCCGGTGATCTGTTAACTTGTGAGGTGGTATTTTTTCAGCACTTCAGTAGCCACTTTTATTATGAAATGTTATAAATACACCAAAAATAGGGATTGCTATAAGAAATGGCCATGTACCTATTGCTCAGAATGAGCAGTGCTTACCCTTTGTCATAGTTGCTTTTTCAAAGAAAGCGAGCTGTACAGGTACAACTGCAGCCGCACCCTTCCCATTGTGCCCACCCGCACCCACCCTTCCCTGCAGAGGGGGCCACTGTCCTCCCCGTCCTTCCTGCCCTGCTGTCCACTGTAGTGCACACGCCTGTGTCTTCCAAGTCGTGCTTTGCCGAGAACATTTTGTCAGGACATCTGTGCTGTCATACCGCGTGTGTCAATTAGCCGCACGTTTTTCTCACTCAGTGTTCTCAACGCCTTTCCCCTTCACATGCGAGACCAGGTCACAGTTTAAACTGCGCGCTCCGCTGTGTGAACACACCAGTTCAGCCATTCTCTCGGGAGTGGGCATTTAGGTGGGGTCTGTTTTCTCACCATTACAAGCAGTACTGCACCGAATGGCCTTGTGGTCACATAAACTAACGTCCCAGTGGACTAACGAGTCACGCAGCGTGGGTATCCTCCACCTGTCCAGGTCCTGCTGGACTGCCCCCGGCTGCCTGTTTATCCTGGCAGTTCCGTTTCCCCACCTCCTAGGGCCTGCCCGCCGTGTTCCTGTTAGCTGGCCCGGGGAGCCGAGTTTTAGTGGGCGCGAGTTCTGGGTCCTCTGTTTGCAAATGGCCTTCTCCTCCAGCTCTTGACTTCTCCTTTTTAGAAGGTGATGCTCTCTTACAAAACCTTCATTCTCGCCCTCAAAGACGTGTTGATCATATAAGTAATCTCCACGAGGAAGATGCCTTACTCAAGGAGGAAAGCAGTGTCCACGATGATATTATTTTCGTGGATGTTGTCGACACCTACCGAAATGTTCCTGCGAAGTTGTTGAACTTCTACAAATGGTAGGTTGTGAAACTGCTGAGTAGGTGGGTTTGGTTTTAGTGTTCTTTTCACAGAGAAACAATGTATCAAACCTTCGTCCCACTGAGCTTTTTAGGAAACAAAGTAACCTAATACCCTGAACGCCTGAGGTATGGTCTGGTGTCCTGGTTCTCTGTGAGGACAGACCTGATAAACGCCCTTCCTTCCTTAGCTGGGGAGAGCCACCGTGGCAGTGATAGGGACCGTCAAACAAATGGGCAAGCGTAGCTCTCACTTAGAGTCATCGCCATGGTTGGCTCAGGGCAGCCAGCCTTACATGAAAGTCAGTGAGTTTGAGAGTGGCCCGTTTTCATGCCTGCCCTCCTCAGTCCCCAGTTCTAGCCGCGGCACCCAGGTCAGTGATTGGAATTCTGTTCAGCTGAATATCTGCATTATAGTTCCATTCCCTACTTACCAATTTAAAAGTTACTTGCCCTAATTCCAAAACTTTTATGTAAAATGAAATTCACCAACCCTCAGAGTCTGTCATATTTATAACTTCCAGAGCCTCCAGTATTTCTTGGGTCTTAGTTGTAATTCCTACCTTTATAACAGTAATAGCAACAATAATAGTCACCTGAGGGTGACAGTTACCTGAAGGTGACTATTCAGGGCTGTACCACTCTGAATGCGCCTGACTGCGTGTGATCGCGGAAGCTGAGCAGGTCGGCCCGGTTCGTACTTGGACGGGAGACCGTAGTCGTAACTGCTGGACGCACCGGTGCCGGTGCCGAGTCCCGTACCAGGGCCCGTAGTTCGCTGTGGAGCCCCTGGTGGTGTCCGCCCTGATGCAGGCCTGAAACCTAACTGCATCTCTGGCTGGACTGGATCTATAACGTGTATTCACATCTTCATCTTTTTTTTTACTTTTTTCTTTTTGTATTTAATCTTTATTTTATGACATTACTTTTTAGTCCCCTTATACCCCCTTCCCCCCAGAAATCACCACCGTTGTCCATGCCCATGAGCGGTTTTCCCTTTTTGCTCAACCCCTTCCCCACAGTCCCCCCCCCCACTGGCTGTCATCCTGCTCTCTGTGAGTCTGCCCCCGTTTTCCCTGTTAGTTCAGTGTATTCATTAGATTCCACATACAAGTGAGATCATACGGTGTTTGTCTTTCTCTGACTGGCTTATTTCACTTAGCATGTTCTCCACATCCATCCATGCTGCTGCAAAGGGTAAAATGTTCTCTTTTTACCGCTGAGTAGTACTCCATTGTAAATGTCCTGTGTTTTCCTTTAAAACTTTATCAGGGAGCATGTTTCTTGGTGAACCCTGCTCTGTCCCTTCTTCTCTGGGCCCTGGGCAGGGTGGGGACCTATCGGTCACTCTGCGGACAGGGTCCCCTGGTCCTGAGGGGCCCACAGTCCAATCAGATGCAGAACATAATGCTTCACAGCTGGGGCAAGTTGATACAATTGTGGAGGCATCCCGTGGGCAGAGGACAGGTGCCAACACGACCTGGAAGTTTGGGTGTGTCTAGAATCCTGGGATTGCATTTGGACCCTCTTGCAGCTCACGGCCCCTGGTTCCTTCCTGCTGTCAGTGGGGCCAAGGCAGGGCTGTGAGGAGGCACAGAGTGGGGACAGAGGTCCAGCAAGTGGGGAATCGGTGTGGTGGAGTTCTAGCACTTTCCGAGGGGCGGACTCCCAGGTGTGGAAGCTGAAGTTGGCCAGGTCGTGCCTTCAGTTTAGGTTTCATCTTCCCGCCTCCTCACACGTCCCTGAGACGTTGGCCGCTCCCCTCTGTGTCTGCCACCACTGTTTTGGACCGTCATCTCTGCCTGGGTGACCACAGGGACCTCCTAACAGCTGTGCTCTGGGACCCACTCCCCCAGAGCCCGCTCTGCCTGTCTATCTACCCTCCACTCTGTACACGAAAGCTTCATTATCCTCATGAGCAAATGACTACTGTGTGTGCTTCATGCTGGCATTACCAGATGAAGGTGTCAGCTTGCCACTAGTTGCCATTAAATACATTTCTCATGTCTACATAAATCACCCTCCCGTGCTTCCCAAAAAGCTCATTGGTAACGGCTGAATCGCTGGAAACGGTTTCCAAGGGAAATGTGTGCCACTGTTATAACTCATTTTTCTAATCAGGAAATGTCATGTGGATGGTAGCGTACTGTGGCTGCTTGTCCGACAGTGTCCTGTGAGGGGCCAGGCGTGATGCCGGTCCCTTCATCCTGGGCCTCTCTTACTAAAAACACAAGGGTCCGGTGGTCAGTAGATTCGCGGCCCTACCTGAGCGGTGTCTGCGAAGCATTTGTTTGATCGCAGGGTCCGCGGAAGCCAGAGGCATTTGTGCCGCGTTGTCTTTCCTTTGCGACTTTCCGCATCGGCGTGTCCACCTGTCTTGGGCCGTGCGGTGACCGCCAGGTGAGGCTGTGGTTGGCAGCGGCAGCAGCTCTTTGTTAAGGAAAAGAAACTAGAAAAGTGTGCAGGAAGGAGGGCACAGTTTTCCTTAAAACATTAGCAGGGCAGCCATGGCGGCGCCGCCTCGGCCCCTCCCACGGGCACGCCGACCGGCCCATCCCTTTCTGCCGACAGGACTGTGGAGACGACCAGCTTTGACCTGCTGCTGAAGACGGACGACGACTGCTACGTGGACCTGGAGGCCGTGTTTCGCAGGATCGCCCGCGAGAGCCTGGACGGGCCCAACTTCTGGTGGGGGAAGTAAGTTCAGCATCGCTATTGGCACTCCTGTAGCTGGTCAAAGATAATTAATTTAGGATGAAATATACTCCATTTTTAATATGGAAAATGTGGTTGAGACAGGCAGTTTCCCTGTTAGGCCCGTGGGCTACTCTATTTTATTAATCTGTGATTCGTGGGAAGAAAACTTTGTGGAAAACCTCAAGCTAATGTAATGAAGGCGGGAAAGTGTTCTGGCCTCGCCCTCAGGCCCTTGAAGCGACTGCAGTCATATGTCAGTTAAGTGTGCGACATTTCTGCAGCTGCATTCTTCAGGAGTACAGAGGGGCCGGTGAGTGGCCGGTGAGTTTTTAAGCATATGTATACAAGATGGTCTGGTACTTCCCATTCTCATTCTTCTTTCCTTGCCACTATTCCTTTGTGGTGATAATAAAGTTGGTAGGACGTGTGTCAGGCAACACAAAGACGCCAGCTTGTCGCCAACCTCAGTTTCAGGTGGAACTGGGCGGTGGACCGAACGGGGAAGTGGCAGGAGCTGGAGTACCCCAGCCCCGCGTACCCTGCCTTTGCCTGCGGCTCGGGCTACGTGGTCTCCAGGGACATCGTCCACTGGCTGGCCAGCAACTCGGGGAGGTTGAAGACCTATCAGGTAGGTAATTCAGAATTTCTGACCTGAGAGCACACCCATCAAACCAAGCTCCCCCCCCCACCCCTGCCCAGGGCCCCACCCCTGGAAGCAGGGCCAGCTGACTTGGAGGAAGAGCGTTTTATTGTCTGTGTAGGAATCTCTCTTCCTCAAATTTGGCTCTGCATTCTATTCTCAAACCTTCTTGGGCCTACTGACTATAGTTTCAGCCTGTGTTTACTAGTCCCCTGGAGGAGTGCAAAATTGGTATTTAGAAGGGAGATGATAAGCAAGTGCTTTTCTTCCTCGGTGCTACCGGTGACTGTCGGCGAACAGCTCTGCCGGGTCTTGTCCCATTAGTGCTGGAGCCTTCGGGTCCATGAGGTGAGGGGACTGGCCCCTGGTGCTAACAGCTGCTGACTTTTGCTCTGTGTACCGACATTAGTACAGGCCTGGATTTCATATTATATAGATTGCAAAACAGAGAGGCAGAAAAATGATTTGTTATCAAAGCAGGGGAGCAGCTGAATTTGTGCGTCTCACCCTTCTGCTGCCGGTCTAGGGTGAAGACGTGAGCATGGGCATCTGGATGGCGGCCATAGGACCCAAACGGTACCAGGTGAGCGGGCCCGAGTGAGGCGGGCTGGGGGCTGGGGGTGGGGGCAGGGAGGCTTCTGGCTCACACCTCGGAGCTGTGCTGTTCATTTTAACTCACAACACTCCACCTGGGTTCCCCATACAATACTTTTCTCAGTGGAAACCACAAGGAAATGTTTTGAACGGAAGTTCTCTAGCCCATAAAGAATAGGTTTTTATCAGAAATTCTTTGCAGCTTTAAAACTTAAAGAATCAGCTGACACCCGTTTCCAGTAGTGGGTGGTCTGACTGATGCACACGAAACGTTGGCTTAAGACAAGGTGAGGCGTCTGGTAAAATACACTGACCACCGAGCCAGAGAACAAGACCCAACCGGACCTGCACAGACCAGACGCGGAGTCAGTGCCTAGGAAGCAAGCACAAAGCTGGTCTTTGCTGCAAAGATTTCAGTGGAACTCTGGATTCTTGCAGCTTCCGCTTCGGCCGTAGAAGGTGCAGGGGACAGAGGAGCCCTGTGTAGCCCTGGGGGCCCACAGCAGTGCACCCCACCTGGGGGGGGTGGAAATACACCCAGTGCACTGGGTCAGCTTTGCTGGTCCCGTTTGTGTTGAGTTTTAGCCCCATCTCTGGTTTATTTCACATTGACCCTGACGATTTTCCTTCTGATTGTTCTGGTATCGGGTGTCTGCAGACTGTTGCTATGGAGCTTGTTTCCTGATGCGTTTAGAGGGTTTTTTGCTGTGACCTCACGTTCCTTGGGGACTTGGGTTTGAATTTGAAACACAGACTACAGAGGGTGTCTTATCTCTGTGGACATACCTAAGGGCCTCCAGTTTCTGACATGGGACTTTGTGCGCCTCCTCCTGATACCCACCCAAGTGTAGACTCGGGTTCCTGATGCTCAGGGAAAACCCTTTCATCACAGCCACCCGCAGGCTCTGCCCCTCAGGCATCCTGGCTGGCTGTGACTCTGTCAGTCTCCTGGCCCTGGGGAGTCTCAAGGCCTTTGAACCCAGTGGAGCCTTCAAGGCCCAGGCCGGCACCAGCACCTTTCCCCACGCCTTCAGGGCCAGGTCAGCCCCCACTTTACGAAGATGTGCGGTGCTGCAGCCAGCATGGGCTTGTGCTCTGCGTGAGTGGTAGCCCCGAGTCTGTATTCCGCTCTAATCCTGGGAAGAGGCGAGTCTGTAAAGCTGGAAGTAGGCTGGTGGGCCCCCCTGAATCCCTTCCCACTCAGCACTACTCACCTACATGAACTTCCCTGTGACCTTGAGCAGGGTCTGCTTACTTTCAGGTTCTCACCGGTAAAGGGGAAGCAGCTTCTCTGCACCAGGGTTACTGTGAGGATTGAAGGTGACGTTTAGGAAGCACTGGGTGTGATCTCTGGAACACTGGCATGCCCTCAGAAAGCTACTGTGATCCATGCCACTGAGCAGCCCCAGCTCTCTCGTGGCCAATGGGAAACTTCCATCCCCGGATGCCAGGCCGCACCTTCCTAGCAGGCCCTCCCTGACAGGCAGTGCACAGGCCGCACTGTTTCTGTGTTCCTTGGCCACAGGGTGCTTTCCCACGCCCCACACACGCAGAGTAGGTCACACAGTGTGTTGTCTTAGCAGCGGGTCCAGCCTCACTGGGGCGGGTAAGCGGCCTGCGCACCAGCCGTCCACAGACAGCAGCTGCCGGCACAGTGCCCTGTCAGCCCTTCTGTCCCCGCAGGATGGCCTGTGGCTGTGCGAGAAGACCTGTGAGACGGGGATGCTGTCTTCCCCTCAGTACTCTGCTCAGGAGCTGGCGGACCTCTGGAGACTGAAGGAGCTGTGCGGCGACCCTTGCCAGTGCGAGGCGCAACGATGACTTTAAGGCGCAGTGTTCACAGATCAGGGCAGGCAAGTGGTAATTCGCATGTGAATCCAGGAAAGGGGCAGTTCAGCGGTGATCACGTGGTCCCTCCGAGCACTCTGGGCTGGTCCCCCATAACCAGCAGGGTCATTCTCAAGGTTCGCACAAGGTTCCCCTTAAAAATCAACCCTGATGCTGTAGCATAAGAAAAAATTTAATTATGTATTGGAAGATTTGAAAAACACCAAAAACTATAAAAGAAAAGAATATTTTTAAATCCTGATACATCATTTGCATTTAGAATTCATTACCTATGGTTTTTGGTTAAAACTTGGCTTGTTCCGAAATCTTTAGTAACTGAGAGTTGGGATTTCCGCCTGCATTGCAGGCTTTGTGTACTGGAATTAGGATGAATACGGGCCAATACCAACTCTCAGAAATGCTGCAATCGTGTGACCGACCACCATGCACAGTGGTCACTAATACCAAAGTCTGGGGTCTCTGGAAATAATGTCATTTCCTGTGGGTGTCGGAATGAAGCGGGCAACTTAAACTTGGAAAAGAACCAGTTTAGTTCTCAGTTCTGGACCTGGGTTTAAATGTTCATTTATTTACTTAGCAGATTAATGCACGTTTTCTTTTGCCATTTTACATAAATCCTGACAAGTGACACCTTAGAACTCCTAGTTTAAAAAATGCTCAATTTTTGTGACTGTAAATAAAGAGCAGTACCTCTCAGGGTTGCAGTGCTGAAGGGAGGGGTGTCTCCGAATAGTCGGCCCTTCGAAGGAATTTCACCCTCCTGTGGTTGCCTGATGTTTACCAGCGATGGAGAGTCTTGACTGGCTGGTCTGCCTGCATGGTCGGGTAGCTGTGGGGAGCGGGGTCACAGCACACATGTGGTGCGTAGTGCAGGAAGTGTCCTTAAATGGCCAACCGGTCGTTTTAGTCCCCTTTTAACTAGTGCTATCAACAGTCCCATGAAGACTGGGCTAGTGAGAGACGTTGACCGTGTTCAGGTTTTAGTGGACTAGTCAGGTTCTGTTTCGTACCGAGATGGTCGCGTAATGAAACGCAGTCATGCACTAGAAATGTGAAATAAAATCAGCAAACTGGTAGTAGGTACAAAGCATTTATTACTGCTGTTACATACAAGCCTAGAAGTGGTTTCTTTCTGATGAAAGGTACCACCTCTTCTGTACGTAGGGCAAGTACAAAACCTTCTTTCTTTGTGACAGCAGAGCATTTATCCCCAGGGCGCCCCAGGCATTGTAACAGTGCGGTCTCTGAGCCTCACTAGTTGGCCGTCACCATCGCACTAACAGACAGTCTCCACTTTCCACAGAGTAAAACTGCAGCGACTGCTGGTCATTTTCTAGTTCAATCTCTCTGCCCGGCATCTGAAAGTAGGACACAGGGTTGAGGGCGACTGAGAGAGGCGACAGATCACGTTCCGTGCCCACCCCCAGAACAGACATGGGGTCTCCATTTAGAGCCCGCTCTGTAGAGACTTAGATGAGCAGCGTGGCGTGCTGTGGGGGCCAAGCATGACTGGCCTTGCTGGGCAACTTACTTTGGGACTCTCGTAGGACAACAGGAGGTCTGACACAGGGACTCTGACAAGGCGTGACAGCAGTCCTTTCACCTTCTGGATTGTCATGGAGTCTGTCAGAGAAAAGAAAAACCACCACTTCTATCAAATGACAGTTTCCTGCCAAACTAGCTCAGAGTACAAGGCCACCGTTGCGTGATGGCTGAAACTGTCCCTTGAGTGCCAGTCCCCCCAAGTAAGCAAGTAGGCAGAGGCACGGCAATCGCACGGAGCACGGCTGCACCGCACTCACGCAAGTCCCTGGGGAGACGGAGCCAGGTGGGACCTAAGGGCCCTTTGACTGAGTTTTCATACCATGTCTTCAGTGGTGGTCCACACTTCCTCCTCCTTGACCCTAATAAACCTGACATCATAGTCTTTGCCCAGAGGAATAAATGTGAATAAAATAATTAACTTGTTAAATCTTGGTGATTACTGAGGACTTGACTAGAAGACCACTGAGTGGGGCTCTCGAGCCCTTTGGCCTTAGTTCCTCCTTGTCAAGTGTGGGGTAAACTACATGGTCGACCAGGTCCCTTCCCAAGCAACCAGCCAGGGGTTCTGCAGTGTGCTGCCGTGTTTGACATGCGTGCTGGTGACCACCAGGTGTGGGTGTGTAACTTCATGAGGATATGCTTCAGTCTGTTCAGAAAACACTATGGGCTTTTCTCCAAAGATGAGCTGTGGTAATGTTGACTATTGTGATTATGAGAAACACAGTTTCTTTGAAGCTTGAGTGGGAGGTACAGCAATAGTGTGGTGTTCCCGCACATACCACACGGAGTCAGATATTTTTCTATCAAAGATCATTTTGTAAAAGTTGTGTTTTTATGCAATTTGTGATAATAAATGTTCTTTATTTTAGAGAAAATGCCTTAAATTTATGTGTTGAATAAAAAATAGACATTTATGATTTTAATCAGCATAATTTCCTCAGGTAATCTTGACCTTTCAAAAAATCTAGGCAGCACTGGGTTCAGACGGTGGTCAGTCAGGGGTTAACTCTTACACAGCCCACGAAAAGATACCTTCTAAGCACCACACCAGAAACAAAGTGGCTGTAAAACAATTCTAGTAAGAGACCCACCTACCTGCACTGTGTTACAGAAAAAAGTGGCAATTTGCATGTAGTGGCCCTGAATAATGCTACTATTCTTAATGTAGAAGTAACACACGATTACCGTAACATTCAGAAAATGTCAAACTGAGTAATTACCTCTTCGCCTCGCTCTGACGGGGTTAAAAGTCTGGGGGTGCTTCCCAGCTTCCTCACGCTTATGTCAGGATGTAGAGTCTGCAGCCTGCACGTACACAGAGCAGCGCCTTCTCAGGCCGGCTCCTGTCCATCTGGGCCCACCAGTCACAGCTGCGTGGGGCCAGTGTGACGAAGGAGCACGACTCTGTATTTCATTGCAATGAGTTTCATTGCAATGAGTTTAAGTCGCCCACGTGGCCGGTGGCAGCCCCGCCGGACAGTGCAGCTCCCCTCTGACGGCACGGGCAACATGACACGCAGTCCTACCAGCCACTGTCGCCATCTCCCCGGAATTCGGAACTTGGAAATGGTTTTTCCATTACAGGGGCCACAAGTTGAATGCTTGGTCTGAGCAGATACAAATTTTTTTACCGATTTCCACCTGACTGTACAAAAAGCATATATGGACTTTTGATGCCAGCTCTGCATGTTAGTTTTTAATAATTTACTAATCTGATTGGCAAAAAAGAAAAAAGTTTCAGTATTTTATACTTCTTCACAACTTTTCTCTGTGAAGGAGTAATTTGTTAGTGACTAGGTATTTACAGCCTGTGGCACAAAAATTAGCGACACCCCAATTAGTTGGGATGCGCTGGCTCACTGCTGAGTTTAGAGACTGCAGGACTCGGATGCTGAGCAGCTTAACGCAGTGATGAACACCTGTCATTTCCATGGGTAACTACTCTTTGCCGGGTGCCCTGCACAGGGGTGACACTCGGTGTGAGTGCAGGGACACCTGGCTCTCAGCAGCACTGGTGGCGGGTGCATAGTGTGCGAGTGCAGAGGCTGAGGCTCACGGTCGGTGCCACCTGTCCCTGCAGAGGAGCGCTTAGTGCGGACCTGCTAGTAACACGCTGGGGCAGTTCCCGCAAACCGGTTTCATGTACCCGGAAAGTGAAGGGGAAAACGCAAAGACATCCAAAGCCAATTACGTTAACCAAAGCCCCGGTCCTCCTTCACTTGTCTGTCTCCACGACTGCCTTTACTGATGGCGTTTTTTCAGATCCTCACCTGAGGACATTTCTTCACTGGTTAGAGAGGGAAGAGGCGGGGCGGGGCGGAGGGGTGGGGAGAGAAACATCGATCAGTTGCCTCCTGTAGGTGCCCCGACCGGGAATCAAACCCGCAACAGTTTAGTGTACAGGCTGAGGCTCCAACCAATGGCGCCACCCTGGCCAGGGCCCTTTATCGGCAGTATTTAAGTTTGAAATCAAGAGTGAAAAGGGAACCAGTGATTCCAGCCCAGCAGCAGGATGGCGCACCGTGGGAGCAGAGCTGCCCACTGACACTAGGTGAAGGCCAGTGACCGGAGGCGCCCTGGGCAAGACCACAGCCTTCCGCAAGCAGTGCACGCTCGTGTGTGCGGGCCAGTGTGAAAACCAGCGTGAGTGTACTGCACTTCACTTCTTCAGTCCCTCACTGCTCTACACGACAATTCACAGTGTACTCAGTGTGAAATGTCATTTTTTTTTCAGTGAAAGTTTAAGGTAAGTTCCATTGATCTAATTTGCTGACACAAACGTATTTTCCAAATAAAACTGATGCAGTTCCAGTAGCACAGACATTTCAAGTTCTGAAGTACTTTTTTTTCAAAGAAAACCATCTCAGTGTACCCGTTAAAAGACAGCACCTAAGAACTGCTTGTACTCCTCACTGGTGGGGAAGAGAGTGTGCAAGAGACACAAATGTCCAAGGAGCTCGTGCCTCAGTCCACTAGGATGTCATTTCTGTTTGATGAGGAGGTAAGACGGCTGCCCGTCCAGTGTGACAGTCTTGTAGCCAAGAAACCCCCCGGAGCAGCGCTCTGAGACCTCAACAGCAGTGGGGCTGGGAAAGCCACTCAAGGGCTCAGCGTTCACGTTCTGTTCTCGGTGACACATGTAACCACATGCAGGGGCTTCGTTTGAACGAAGGGGTTTCTGGGTAAGCTGATAAAGTCATGGGGGGCTTCAGCTTTTGGGGGAGTGACACTAGCATGATCGATTCCACTTCAGAATCTGAAAGACTAGTGACGACATGAAGCCCCACGAGACCGCACTTGCAGATGTGAGGGAACTGCCTCGCACCCAGCCGACTCGGAGGCATGAGGAGGAGGCAGAGACTCATTCTTCTTACCTGGTAGCTGTTTCTCTAGGCCTTTCTGATCAAGATGGTTAGGGTACTTTATCCTCAGTGCTTGAGGGAAAAAAGGAGAAAGACGTGAGTCCTGCTACAGTGAGGATCTAAACTACACACGTTCCTGGGGCGGCCGGGTGACAGCTGCTCAGTGTGGCCTGGCTCAGAGGTCCAGGAATCGGCCTCACTGGTGCTGGAAGCTGCTCCTGTGGGTATTTCACCGAGTCACCAACAGCAGAACAGCTGGCTGCAGTTCTGTTGCTCCCCCTTTCCCCCCAAGTACTTCTTTCCTGACAGTTTCACCAGGTTACCAAGTGTAAGGAA